TTTATGTATATTGGCAAGTAGCCTTAACAATTTTGCTGCAGGCCTGGGTCTGGTGCAGCAAGTGTTCCGCATCGAGACCCGGTCTTTCCTTGTCCTGCTTCCAGAAAATAGTGCAGAAAATACTGAAAAAACAGCACAAAAACAGCACAATAGTTTCAACTGGATGATTTTTTTTCTGGACGAAAACCCTCCCTCAAAGAACAACGACCTGCAGCGTGTTCTCAATCCGGTGGATACCAAAAATATAAATCTACTTAAATCCGAACCAACAGTCAGAGCACCAAACCAAATACGAATGTAAAACAAACCTTCATCTACATGTTTTGTGATATCAAAGTGGGAACTTGCAGTGCTCAGGTGCCTTCAACATACAACGAATTGTTCAATTTCAAAAAAGGATGGCAAGGTAGTTGTCCTTGGTCAGGTTCCCCAACTTCTTCATGCTCCCAATGCCCAAGTCTTCTCCACCTGACAGAACCAATTCATGTAATTCATTGAACATCAAATCAGATCAGTAGTGATACAAAAAATGTTCACTACAACCTATCTCATCTTTACGTATGCTAGCAAGTAGCCTTAACAACTTTACTGCAGGCCTGTGTCTGGTGCAGCAAGTGTTCCGCATCGAGACCCGGTCTTTCATTGTCCTGCTTCCAGAAAATAGTGCAGAAAATACTGAAAAAACAGCACAATAGTTTCAACTGGGTTGATTTTTTTCTGGACGAAAACCCTCCCTCAAAGAACAACGACCTGCAGCGTGTTCTCAATCCGGTGGATACCAAAAATATAAATCTATTCAAATCCGAACCAACAGTCAGAGCACCAAACCAAATACGAATGTAAAACAAACCTTCATCTACATGTTTTGTGATATCAACATACAACGAATTGTTCAATTTCAAAAAAGGATGGCAAGGTAGTTGTCCTTGGTCAGGTTCCCCAACTCTTCATGCTCCCAATGCCCAAGTCTTCTCCACCTGACAGAACCAATTCATGTAATTCATTGAACATCAAATCAGATCAGTAGTGATACAAAAAATGTTCACTACAACCTATCTCATCTTTACGTATGCTAGCAAGTAGCCTTAATAACTTTACTGCAGGCCTGTGTCTGGTGCAGCAAGTGTTCCGCATCGAGACCCAGTCTTTCATTGTCCTGCTTGCAGAAAATAGTGCAGAAAATACTGAAAAAACAGCACAATAGGGTTGATTTTTTTTCTGGACGAAAACCCTCCCTTAAAGAACAGTAATTATCTGTGCCAGCCTGAAGATCTCCAACATTTTCCAACCAACCTGCAGGAAACCATTTACATCCCAAAATAGGTTACCCCAAACTCTGACGGATGATCATCAATCATCATTTCACCGAACTAATTCACTGGCAGGAAATTATTTCGATTGGCTATCACTCACGCATGTAGTCAACAGACTGCGCAGGCTCGCACAAAACGCCCGACTAACATCTGGGGCCCGGCATTTTTCCTGCAACTTCTCGCGTAAAATCATTTTGGGATATTTTTGGGAGATTTCCATGCTCCGGCGTTCTCAAGCTCTGGATCTGCAGCATTTTCATTGTCGATTCTTGTGTAAACGGGCTCTTGTGGAGATCCTGCTCATTCCTCTCTCAGAAGTCCTTGCATGAGGAGCTTGCAGATGCCATGTCTTGGAGGTGCTATGAAAGCTCTTGTGGGAGGCTTGGGAGGTTCTTGTATTAAGATCTCGTAAGATCCGCTCCAGCAACAGCAGGTCCTTTTTTGACGATCTTATGAGCTTCTCTTCGGGGTCTTTTACAATTTCTTGTGCGAAGATCTTGTGGAGGTCCCTGTCAGAGGCCTTTGCATGATCTTGTACAGATCCTTGTGAGAAGCTCTTGAAGAGGTCCTGGTGAAATCCTCTTAAGATCTTGAAGATCCTCTGCGTTGGTGCTTGTATGAAAGTTCTTCTGGAGTGCTCATAGGAAGTTCCTCTATGAAGATCTTGTGATCTCCTCTATATAGATCTATATAGAAGGTCTGCTCCTGCAGCTGCGATCATGTCTAACATCATCTGTTACTGTTCCATGGCTACTGTTCTGGTAGGTTGACTTCCTACTGTTTGGGGTCTGTTGCCGGTGTAATTTAGATATTCATTCGTGAAACAGCGATTTGAGGACTGCAGGAAACTCATCCATCAGATGAGGCTCAGCCCTCAGCAGTTTTCTCCTACGTCCTGGAAGACCCGCAACTCAATGGGACTTCCAGGATCCTAAAATGGAGGTACTGTACCATATAAAGCCATAGTTTGGGTGTATATCCCCTTGCATAGCCCTTGCATAGGCCTTATATGGTAGGTACCTCCGATTTAGGTACCTGAAGTGGCCATTGAGCAACTGTTCCCTTTCAAGGGAGGAGTCGGGTCATTTTCCTACAACCATTTCGAAATGGCTCCAAATTGTCAACCCTCCAAAATTGACAAACTTAAAAGTACAAGAAAGGACCAACGTGGTTGGCCCAGTGAAGTCCATTGGTATTTTATGGCCCAATTCGCCATTTCATGTTCCCAACTTCCCCGCCACCGCCTCGGGGCTTGCGATGGCCGCTTCATCAGCTCGATCCACAGCAGAACCCCTGCCTGATGCACAGGGAAGCACCAACTCCATGAGCTGTTTTTAAGGTCCAATAGTTTCAATGACTTTGCTTCGAGTGATCCCCACCATGGCATTTCAAGTCATATATTCTTAAATATATTCTGACATTTTACCCAACTTTCTATCTGACATCTATTCTGACATTCTATCTGCAATTCTTTCTGGCAGTCTATCTGGTATCTATTATATCTTCAAATCTTGCGGAGTGATGTCACATGCTTGCTGCATCCTGTTGAATCCATATCAAATATCTTTGGGTTGAAATGCAGTTGCCAAGCGACATTAGCAAGAAAGCTACCTGATACGTGCCATATCTTTTGACATTCTGTCTGCTGTATCTTTGAAGATTCTTTGTGGCCGAGGTCCGGCTGGGAACACTCTGATCCTGTGCTTGCTGTCCGGGTCCCGCGGGGAAGACTGCGATCTATCGCTTGCAGCTGAGGTCCGGCGGAGGAGGAGGAGGAGGACGAAGATGCGGAGAAGGAGGAGAAGGAGAAGGATGCGGGACGGCTGACATAAGATCTAACAACCCTCACCTGATAGGTGGGGAAAAAAAACAGTGTAACAGTGATGCAAAAAATGATGACTCTATATGATACAAAAAGAGAGTGTTTCCACTACAGTAGTTCCCGATTATCTACTACCAGTAGTTCCTTTTTTCCATCTACAGTATATATATGTTTCAACTTGAGGATATCAAAAGTATGATGATTCCTGCAGTCATCGCGTGGCAGATGCCTTCTTGTTTTCAGGCTTGGCAGAGCCACCGTCACGTGTCCTGGGAAAGAGTCATGTTAATCCAGCGACCTATCCAAAAATTGGAAGTTTCTTCGTCGGTTCAACCTGTTAGGTATTAAGCCCGTCAGCATGGAAATTTGACCCAGAGTATGTAAATGGATGCAAACAGGAATCAAGCAAGAAGAATACAAAGAATACATGTGTAGACTGTAGATACAGTATGGTGTGCATTAATTGCTATTGTAGTATCATGTCTAGTTTGGGGCTGACACAGTTCCGCAGCTCGGAAAAATCCATGGACTGTCCTTCGCGTCGTTAAACGCGTTCAGCGTCTTCCTCATCTTCATCACTTCTAAGTGCCATGGCCTTCAAGGCCAAGAGCTGGTTCCCTGCTTGATATGAACCCTGGATTAATGGAGGTGGGAGTATCATGGAGTATCTTTTTTAATCTTCTTCAAGCTTTTTCAATTGGAGCGTATCACTTTTGGATACTTTTGGGGGTAGCCTCCCCATCAGGCTTTTCTCCACCCGAAGCCTGTCTGACTGCGCTGCTTCTGAGCCTTCATTGACCTGAAGACGCGACGACTTTTGCCATGGAAAAAGTGCAGGAAATCTGAATGACAGTTCCTGACATGCCGGAACCTCATCCTCATCCAAGTCTGGTCCACATCTTTCAAATATTCATGATAAGAACTACCCAACCGTTTTCCACGCAGAATCTCCCAATGGCTTCCAGCGCCTGTGATCGGCCGGACTCCTGTGCCATCGGCTTCCGAGAAGCCACGGCGCCATGATCTTCATCACAGGTGACTTGTTGCTCAAAATCCTTTACGCCTCTTTACCCACTTTCCAAACATTGGAGATCGTTGGTACTAAATGATCAAACCATCATGATCTTTCGTGCAATATTGATGGTTTGACGATTCAGTGCCAGAAATATCCAACCATGATGAAGTTTGGCAGTTTGGCATGTTTGGCCAAGAAGCAGCCCATATTTTGAGTCAGAATGCCTTCAAGATGTGAGTTCGAACCTTACGCCGTACCCGTCCTTCACGGCTTGAAGTTCTGCCTGAGGACCAGTCCGATGGCAGACAGCGTCCAGGTTGGACTCTCATCACCGCGTGCTAGACTTCTGACATACACAGCTCAGCCGAAATACCCTCTGGTAATTTGTCTACATAGCTATTGAAAATGGCCATAGAAATAGTGGATTTAGCCCCATTGAAAATGGTGATTTTCCAGTTCGCTATGTTAAATTACCAGAGGGTAAACACTCCAAAAAAAATCCATGAGCCTTGCTTCGGAAGCATTTTCAAACATCGTTTTCAATCTCCATGGTTTATCATCAATGTTCTGGCCGTTTGCCCTGGGCCCTCACCAGAAGGGCCATGGCTTCATGATCCACACTCGAACTGCGCCTGGCGGATGCCATGGGATGACATTGGGGGTTCGGCCCTTCAAACTTGGATAGCTGGATGGTTTAAGATGGTTTAAGCCATGTTAAAACATCTTAAAACCATCTTTCATTGCTGAAAATTGACATAAATTGACATATGTCATGGATTTGATGGATATTTTTACAGTTGACCATCCGAGTTGGGGGGATATATCATGATATATCTTCATGATATATCTTCATGATATATCTTCATGCCTCTCCACCATTTGAAATTGAAACAAATTGGATGATCTGAATCTTGTTCCAGCTGCCGCATCAGCCGATGCGAAGGCATTCTGCGGCTTTTCGGCCCGATCTTCGCTCAAAATGTTGATCGGACCTGGGATATATATCATGGATTATCATGGAGGTTCCCTAAAATGGGGGAACCCCTAAATCATCCATTTTATAAGGATTTTCCAATATAAACCAACCATTTTGGGGATGCCCCATTTATAGAACCCCCATATCTTTGCATAACTCGTTAGATCTCAGTTGGAAGAGAAATCACTTCTTGGAGGTCGCACCCGAGGACAGCTACGAACATCCCAGGATCTTGTTCCAGCTACGAACTGCGATCCCACGGTAATGAAACATGGCAATGATAAGTTGGTTTATAACTACAATAACTAGGGTTTATGGTAGTTGTAACTATAGTTAGATTGGGTTATAAACCAACTTATAACTAGGGGGCCCCACATTGTAACTTTGATTGGAAAATCATCGACTATCGACTATGACTGATGGATATAAATGGTGGGATAGCGCAGAAAACCAATGGGGAAATTCAAACATCACCCACTCAGCAAAGCGTATGCTTGCCTGTTTAACATTGCCTTTTGGGTAGTTGATCATAAAATTTCGGGGGATATCCAAAATCAACACCGACAAAAAAAACATGTTCCCAGTAGATTCGCCAAATAGATCCAAAATGATCCAAATCAGTGGATTAACAGATGGAAAACGAGACAAATCAGCAGCAAAATCCGCTCAATTTCCATGGGTCGCTTTAGCCACCGAAGACCGTGGCACCTGGCTGCAGTTTTCGTGCTTCGTCCGCCTGCCGAATACAACCAACTCTCCTCTCCACATCCTTCAGGCATCCCATGTCCGTACGGAACATGGGGTTTTTTATCATGGATTATCATGGAGGTTTCCTAAATAATGGAACCCCTAAATCATCAATTTTATAAGGATTTTCCCATATAAACCAACCATCTTCCATCTTCCAAGGATCTGATGTTTGCGCAAACCACCCTGGAATCTGCGGTGTCTGTGCCTCTGAGCTCCAGCATCAGCGCCGCGGCGTCTGCGTCGACGTCACAGGTGTCCTTCTCTTCTTGCAGATCCTGAAGCCCTGCAGCGACCAGGAAAGCGAGGTATCCGGCATGGGATCGTCAGATTTTTTGAAATCCATGGATCGCATTGGATACAGTACTTAACTTAAAAATTAAATTAGATCTGCTCAAACACGTATCGCGAGAAGCACCTGATGTTTTTACTCAGAGTTCACACTTCCAGCCACGCCTTGTCGGATGGCAATGGCTGTTGCCTCAATGGCTGAAATTTCCTCCAGTTCCTTCTCCAAGTTCTTCCGCTTCCATGCAGGTTGATAGGTCTCCTCCACTGTCGAGACCTCTGGCTCCTCTGGGGAGACGTCATCCCGGGGAAGGCTCCTGAAAGGGCTCCCGGGGCTCCTGACGGCATGGAAAATGCTGGTTGCATCTTGTCTGAAAGGATCGCCACCAAGAAAACCACTCCAAAATGTCTGAAGGTCGATGTCATCAGTGCCTCACTGGAGTATTGAAACCTAATTGTTCACCTGAACTTCGTACATTCCCTGCGTCTTCGGGGTCCCCACCCCTTGGGTTGCCAGTTCATCATATTTATCCCCAGCTTCCGCCGAGCAGAACTCACCTCCAACAACCATCATTCCTACACAAGCATTTAATGTTCTACCATGTTCTACCCCTATTTTTGCAGTTTTACCCGAGGATGGATCAAACCCCAGGAACCTTCTATTCACATCAAAAAAAACTGAAAGTGCATGTTCATCTCAGTATTCAGATCGGACACTCATAGGTTTTGGCCCATACATAACCAGGGGATATCAACAATCTGTGGGCAAAATCGTCAAAAAACGGCTCCTCTTTGTTCAGTGGAACAACTCCCAGGGGTTCCCAGGGTGCCCGGGGTGCCCGGGGGCTCCTGGCCCTGGCCCTGCGGCCGTCACTCTTCAGCTCGGGTTCATCCTCCGCCGCCCAGGCCTCGACGGCCTTGAACCGCCCCGTGGGTCCCGCGGAGGTGGACTGGGAGGGAAGCGACCTGCCGACCTCGGACATGGCAGTTCTTTGGTGAAATCATTGCTGGGTAAATATAACATATAGATGTAGAAACATGATTTCAACAATTTTGGAAGAATCTACTTAATTTATCTTAATTTGATTTGCACAAAAAAGATATTCGAAGTCTATGAATGGGGGGTTAAGCCTCCACACTCATTGTACACTTTGGGTAGATAAACAGCATTAAACAGTTGAAAGGGAACCATGGGAAAACCATCTACACCTGCAGAATTATTCAGTCGTGCTAGGAGAACAAAAGGCAAACCAACCAGGTCATGCCAGCCGCTTGAGCAACCATTGGTTCAGTCATGACGGGTCGCCGAAAACTGGGGTTGGTAGGTCTCCAAACGGAGATGTTGAGGAAAACAATGACAAATCACCGATAAGAAACATCAGGAGCTAAGCAAAGGTGGAAAATGTCTGCAAATTTGAAGTCTGGATGTTTGGCAAAGTTGAACTAACATGCGCAAACAGGCACATTTTGACTTATCAGATTTCCTCTTGGTCTTGAAATTCAAGGGGTTCACAGCAGAATGTCTGTTAGTTGTCGCCCCGATCCTTTTTATGAATTTCATTCGTTGCACCCCACTTGTCTATTGGTTCATCCGCATTTGTTAGTGGTTGCAGCCACTTTCTTGTTGTTTCACCTCCATTTTTGTTGCTAACAAAACCCCACAAGTGGACCCCAGAATGCACAGATCCCCTATATTTGGATTTGTCTGAAAAAAGAATACATCCCAAACTTTGATAAACTTTGATCATCACGTTCCCCAATATCTTACAAACATAGCAAGCAACTGGAGGCTGATGGGGCTGGTTCTATCCCAATCTATCGCACATTTTTGGACAACCCCCCTCTTCCACGTCATTCCACTGGTTAAGTTTTGCTGCCCAGCAACCGGAGCTGCTCTCGTCTGCTGCGACGTCGAAACCGACGGCGTCACACTTGGCGGTGGCGCCGCAGGCGGGGCAGGCGGGGCACGGTGGCAGGAGGCCGCTGCCTGGCGGAGGAACACTTCCATCTGGAAAATGGCGGAAAAATGCCATGTTTTACCTCCAATTTCTCGCGATTTCAATGGGGAAAAACATGAGGTTTACAAATCCGAATGGGAACCAAGGTGTTCGGGGTTCTCCCCAATCTGGTCAATGGTTTCAACCAATCCAAACGATAACCGCAGCTGTAGCCAGCATTGTTGAAGGAGCACGAAATGTTTGCAATTCGTCCGTGGCAACACGATCATCATCAGCACTTTCTCTCAGATCTGCGGCCACATGTGCCATGTCCCCAGTCAGCTGCAACTCAACACTGCCTTTCGCCAGCCTAGGGTCTTCAAGCTGCTTGGCAAAAGAACTCCTTCCAAATCAGGATAATCAGGCTCAAATCCAATACCAAAGAAAATATGTTCAAGCTTGCACCACCCAAAAGTCAGTGTCTGAAGACTGGATGGCAGGGTCACTCGCTCCAAGCTCTGGTTGAAGCAATGCCCAAAAGTCAACGTCTGAAGATTGGGTGGCAGGGTCACCCGCTCCAAATTCTGATTAAAGTAATGACCAAAGGTCAACGTCTGAAGACTGGGTGGCAGGGTCACCCGCTCCAAATTCTGATTAAAGAAATGACCAAAGGTCAACGTCTGAAGACTGGGTGGCAGGGTCACCCGCTCCAAGCTCTGGTTGAAGTCATATTCAAAAGTCAACGTTTGAAGATTGGGTGGCAGGGTCACTCCTTCCAAGCTCTGGTTGAAGTCAGATCCAAAAGTCAAGGTATGGAGGCTGGATGGCAGGGTCACCCGCTCCAAGCTCTGGTTGAAACGATATCCAAAAGTCAACATTTGAAGATTGGGTGGCAGGGTCACTCCTTCCAAGCTCTGGTTGGAGTCAGATCCAAAAGTCAAGGTATGGAGGCTGGATGGCAGGGTCACCCGCTCCAAGCTCTGGTTGAAACGATATCCAAAAGTCAACGTTTGAAGACTGGGTGGCAGGGTCACTCGGTCCAGGCTCTGGTTAAAGTCACGACCAAAAGTCAACGTTTGAAGATTGGGTGGCAGGGTCACTCGGTCCAAGCTCTGGTTGAAGCTGAAATCAAAAGTCAAGGATTGAAGACTGGGTGGCAGGGTCACCCACTCCAAGCTCTGGTTGAAGTCATTTTCAAAAGTCAACGTTTGAAGATTGGGTGGCAGGGTCACTCCTTCCAAGCTCTGGTTGAAGTCAGATCCAAAAGTCAAGGTATGGAGGCTGGATGGCAGGGTCACCCACTCCAAGCTCTGGTTGAAACGATATCCAAAAGTCAACATTTGAAGATTGGGTGGCAGGGTCACTCGGTCCAAGCTCTGGTTAAAGTCATGATCAAAAGTCAAGGATTGAAGAGTGGGTGGCAGGGTCACTCGCTCGAGACTCTTGTTAAAGGCATGACCAAAAGTCAACGTTTGAAGAATGGGTGGCAGGGTCACATGGTCCAAGCTCTGGTTAAAGTCATAACCAAAAGTCAGTGTCTGAAGACTGGGTGGCAGCGTCACTTGCTCCAAGTTTTGGTTGAAACCACGACCAACACATCCAATAATGATGTTGTACCTTAGGCACTGGCAACTTGTTGTTTTCCCCCATAAAAGGTTCAAAAACTTCAAAAAATTGGGGTGTGAGGTCCAAACAAAAAAACAATGCTTGACGTTTTTGGTACCGCAGAATTGCAAAAAGAAAAACCTACACACCAACATCTCGGCGTGTACCCACTTCACCGTTTCTGCTCCATGAATCTCAGGCGCAATGCTTTCAGCCACTGTGAGTGATTTCAACCTTCATTTTCTCCCTTTCCTAACACCTTGGATTTCATCACTTTCCACTGGTTCATGTTTTAAACATTGTAACTCAAAACATCAACCAAATTTGAAACCTGGGAAATAAAAGATCACAAAAATTCCATCTGTTTTTTCCACCGTAAGATTTCATCTCACACATCCCTGTTTTCAATTTTGCCGGAACAACTCTCCAAGCTACACCACGCATTTCCGCCAAACCCGTCCTGAACCAATGTCCCAAAATACACCACAAAACCTCAGACTTAGATTTCATCTCACACATCCCTGTGTTGAACTTTGCGGGAACAGCTCTCCAAGTTACACCGCTCACTATCTAGCCATGATTATAATTGCAGGAATCATACAAACCACTCATTTCTGCAAACCCATCCTCAACCAATGTCCCAAAATACACCGTTTAAAATTGCAAAATTAACTCTATAGGGTGCCAAAACGTGAAGATTTTTTTTGCGATGAAGTGTCACGCAATGGGCACAGGTCAAGAGCATGGGAGAGCCCGGTTTGATCTCTCACCCTCCCCGTTCATGCTCAACAATTCTGCCAACGGGCGCCCTAATATTTTGGAAGCCAATGTTTTTTCTACGTTCCCGGTCTATGTGAATGAAAGCCTGTGCTTCGGGTCCGGGCGCCACCGCTGTGAGCAATTCAAGTTTCCGTAACAAATGCCACAATTTGCGGATAAAAACCTCTGAGCTGAGGTTTCCCTTGGGTAGCCGCTGACTTTTTGGAAACCATGTTCCTGGCTAAAAACCAGTGACCCCATCCTTTCTCAAAACATCATATTGGAATTTTGAAATGCCAACTTTGGCTGAAACCCTGAGGAACCATGAGGGCCTCCTGTCAGCGTTTCACTACGATCTCCACAAGATCTTCTCACAAGGACCTGTATACAAGATCATGGAAGGGCCTTTTGTCAGCGCTTCACTGCAATATCCACAAGATCTTCTCACAAGGACCTGTACAAGATCACGCAAGCCTCCAGGAACTCTCCCAGATCTTCATGCCAGGACCTCTAAGAGAGGATCTTACAAGATCTTCATACAAGAACCTCCTAATAACCTCCCATCAGGACTTTCATACTAAGCACATCTAAGAAGGACATCTTCAAGATCTTCATGCTGGAATCTCTTAGAGAGGATTTCACCAGGATCGCCACCAGATCTTCTCACAAGGACCTGTACAAGATCATGCAAGGACCTCTTAGAGGATTGCACCAAGACCTCTTCAAGATCTTCAAGGACCTCTACAAAACCATGGTCAAGATCTTCATAATGTAAGGACCTCTAAAGACGCACCATGAAACACTTGCAAGAAGGACTTTCCGGAGAACTCATACAATCTCTTTGCCAGGATCTTTGAGAAGCAGCTACAATGAGCACTGCGCCACAACAAGAGCCATCTGACATGCACAAAAACTGAAGAGAGGGCTGCGCGAGCGACATCAAATTCCCACCGCGCCACAACGAGAGCGATCCGACACGCCCAAAGTCACGAGAGGGCTGCGCGAGCACATGTTAGAATTTCCCCAGTAGCGCGCGCCACCAAACATGAGCATTGAAAATGTCAAAAATGATGTTCTACCTAGGTTGGGTGCTTGTCAATTGAGGTCTACATTGTTCCATAGTACCGAACTGTGTCTGCCACGAAAAATAAGATCCGAAGTGCTGCACGTGCCACACGGAATCATCATCATGTCCCAAATCAAAAATGGCGACAGTTTCACAAAACAAGACTTTCGATATCTTTCGATCCTTTCGAAACGTCTTCCAGATTCACCCAATACTGCGCCTGCCACGAAAAATGACCTCCAAAACCACCTCTAGTTTTGACCCGCACGTGCCAACATTTTAGCAACGTGCTGAAAGTGCCCGCCACATGGATGAAAAAGTGCTCGATGTCATGCGCCTGTCACGCAAAACGGCGTTCCAGACCTGAAAATGCCTCGGATGCCCCACGCCTGCCACATAAAACTAAGATAGCTCCAAAAATGAGCACCGCGCGCCGCTACAAGATGCTAAGAGTATATATATATATATATAGACCTAGCAAAACGGGACGCTCACTTTGTGCGAGCCTGCGCAGTCGAAATGCACACAGACATCTCACAAGGGAACTTTTGCGCGAGCCTGCGCAGACAAACACCGGGGGATGAAATGGTTTGATTGAGGATGATACGAGTACTATGGCAAAACCCAAAATAGGGGCAAAATCGTGCGCTCCAGCTCTGGGTTTTCAGCCCAAATGCCCGAGGGATCCAAAAGTCAACGTTTGAAGACTGGGTGGCAGGGTCGCTTGCTCCAAGCTCTGGTTGAAGCAATGACCAAAGGTCAACATCTGAAGATTGGGCGGCAGGGTCACTCGCTCCAGATTCTGGTTGAAGTCACGACCAAAAGTCAAGGTTTGAAGACTGGGTGGCAGGGTCACTAGCTCCAAACTCTGGTCGAACTTCTCACCGAAAGTCAAGGATTGAAGACTGGGTGGCAGGGTCACTGGCTGCAAGTTCTGGTTGAAGTTATCCCCAAAAGTCAATGTTCGAAGTCCGTTTGGCAAGTGCATGTCACGCAGGCCTTGAATCGGGTTGAAATCAACAGTCAAGTGTTCAAGGCTTTTGGGGAGATGGTTCAAAGACTGCCCCGGCATCTTCACGGTCAGATGTGCTAGTCCTTCCAACGCAAATTCTTCCTCAGGGGTTGCTAGTTCTTGAATGAAGCACCATGCATCGAAAAGGTTTGCTGGCGTGTAAGTGCAGGATATGGTTGTGGCATCACTCACAATGCCTTGCTCTTGCAGGGTTTGGCTTAGCAGGAGTGCTGAAGTGCCATGATGCAGAACGAGCTTTGCGCCTCTCTTCGAAGCAAACTTCTTCGAAACCATTTGTCGAACCTCCCGGCCCAGCATCGCAGGAGAGACCTTCAAAAGCAATCCTTCCCCAGTTATGCACTGCACCCGAAGATCAAAAAGGTTCGAGCTACCAGGATTCAATGATCCACCTGCATAGCCCTGCATCGCCAACGATATCTGCCTCACCCAACTGTATGGCTGTCTTTCTGCAAACTGTCGTGGAACGCAAGAATGAAGCTTCGCTCTTGTCAAATGTGACAAATGCAGCCACTATTACTCTCAAATGATATCAAATGCTTGTTTGGCGTCCAGCGTGCAATGCTGTCTTTGCTAGCATGCTCAAATTTGCTGTTCAAGTTGTTGTTAGAAGAATTACAGTAGAGGCTGTGCACTGTGTGTTTGATCTTAGCTAACCCCACTCGCAAGACAGGCTACGGAGAGTTGCTGCAGGCTGAAATGAACTCGAATTATGTCTTGCATGGTGTGACTATGTTTTTTCCTGCATACATATTGTTCCTTAAAGCATCCCAGCAAATGGAACTATATGAAAACCCTACGCCAATCAAAACAAGGAGAGTCCATCGAATTTTCATACAATGATGAGCCCTGCTCCTGTGAATTTTGATAAAACAGGTGAAATAGCCCGATTGCATTTGATTGGATGAAATAGAATCAGGCTCATCTAGAAGTAAGCGCCCATCATTCTGTAGAACGTCCCCATTTGGAATTGAGAACTGCAGGAGACTCATCCAAAGATGAGGCTCATCCCTTGGCAGGTTTCAACCATTTGAGAATAGCTTAAAATGAATGATACGCAAAAAAGCAGAGAAGCAGAAAAAGCAGAGAAGCAGAGACAAGCAAAGAAGCAGAAAAGCTCGACAGTAGAGAGGAGGGAGGAATCAAAGAAAATAACTTCATAAATGTCTGCCCATTCTGATCAAACAGGTGAAATATCCCGATTGCGAGTGGATGAAATTTTCCATGAGGACCTGCAGGAGACACATGTTCTCTTTGGAGGAGTCCTGTCATTTTCCTTTTTTACCATTGGGGAATGGCCCAAAATTACCCCGAAAGAATGGATGGTTAATGATGGTTATATACTGTAATATTACACTGCACCAAAAATCTCCCAACATATTCGCTATCTTGGTGCCACAAGGAGGTGCCCCTTGTGACCCATACCCAAGCATTGCCAACCTCCCAGCACTGCCTCGGGTGTTGCTATCGCTGCTCCATCAGCTGCTGCTTCCACAGCACCATCAATCTCTGCCTGACACAAAAATCACATCAGGCCATCAGATACGATTCACAGCAGCTGTTTACAATCCGACTATACTTTGTGGGTGCACTTGGGGTTGCTAATAGATATATATATATAATATATATATAATATATATATAATATATATATATAATATATATATAATATATATAATATATAATATATATATATATATAACCATGCAGGATGGGGATAGCTAAGTTGCCTTAGAAGTGGCTTAACTATGGTTTATGGTAGATATATATAACTATAGTATACTATAGTTAATGGGGTTTGTAAACCATCTTATAAGTGGGAGGGCACCATCCTGTGCTTATTATATACACATACACCCACAAGTTGGGATAGAACTTACTTATTGCTTTGGCATCTTTCTGTGGTAGGGGACATGGCTACCCAGGATCTATTTATAGAATCCCAGGAACTATCTATAGAATCCCAGGAGCTATTTACTTCATTATACTGATACTGGGGTTAATTTATTTCCAAGCTCCTGGGCCTATTAAAAAACCAAAAAAAACATAGTGAGGCCAAAGCAGTCACCAAATCATCTGTCTACAATAATTGCAAATAGTTCCTGGAACTCTGCAAATAGTTCCTGGAAATCTGCAAATAGTTCCTGGGTCACAAAGCCAGAAAATAGAAAGGCCCAAATAACCAGGCCAACGCCGATAGTAAGATAGAACCCAAAAACAAGTATGGCAAGCTCTGGTTGCATATTCAATAGATTCTAACTGAAACTGCACCTCCAAGGAGTTTCCAACAATCTGTGCAACTTGCTCTTTTCAGACAAGTCAAGCGACGGACAGTTTTTGGAATTTCGACGTTCAGCTGGATATTTGACCGAAGCCTTCGCTTCACCCACGATCTGCTGTCGGTTCACCCGGAAATGTTGGGGAATGGGATAATTCCTGGGAAATCATCATCCAAAAAAATGCTGGATTTTTTTGGCGATTTGGAGAGTGGAAATGGGTTCTATATGGTTCTATCATATTCTATCCCTATCACATCCCCCCAGTTCCGCCCTACCTTAGTGGGTGCCAGATCCGCCAGATAGAGTCGGAGTTCGTCGCCATCGATGGTGCCCAGCGGCATGGCTAGCACCGCAGGGGGCAAACCGACCTGCAGCGGCGCAGGGAGAGGTCCGCAAGGTGTGACCAAACCTTGGGGGATTGGTTTAGGGAGATTGTATGGACGCGTTACATGAAAACTATCCGGGGTTCTGTTACCATTCCCTTGTAAACAATATAGTTCTGAGGAAGAAAAAAAGTTTTGGTGTCACTCCATGCAGATACTATGGACTGCACTTGTCCCGAATCGATGAATTCGGCTCTCAGCTCTGTTGGGGACAAGTTGAACCCCTCAGGATGTAGAGAATACTCCATGAAGGCGTCAACACCAGTATGTTCGACATTTCACAACACCGACTACCCTCTGGTAAACTAACATAGCTATTGAAAATGGCCATTTATAGTGGATTTTCCCATCAAAAATGGTGATTTTCCATAGCTATATTAGTTTACCAGTGGGTAAACCTGTAAACCTCCACACAAGTCGGGTGTAGCACGCACCAGGTCGCCCGTGCTAAACGATCACCATCCACAGGCCCAAAAATGGCCTCATCGAAGTCATCGCTGGAATCGTCTGCTGGGGCCTCCCCACACCAGCTGCCAGCGACTCAAGGGTCAGGCTATTGAAATGTTAAACACGGGATACCCAAAAATGGTTGCCGGAAAAAAAAAACTTCGGATGCTGTGCAAAAAAAATAACCATCTGAAACCATCCAAACCATCTCGATTCCTGTGTTTATTGAAATAAAAGACTACTTGAATATCCATGATTGATCCAAATTCTCACCACTGGACCTCAAGGAGATCCAGCAGCTCATCCACTCGCACCGCTGGAGCCTGGTGTTTGCGACTGTTCCATGCTGTGAGATATGTGGTTCATAATGGCTTAGTAATTGGAAATGAGAAATTAATGGATGAAGAATGGTTAAGTTTATAGGTTTATAGGTTTAAGAGAACATCTCAGTTTTGGAGGGATTGGTAAGATCTCCTAGAGACGATCAAGAACCATCTGAGATCGCCGGCATCCGGCTGGCTGAGATGGACAACCTGCTGAGGAGATGTTGATCTAACATATCTATCTATACATATATATATAAGTATATAAGTAATAATAATCAAGTAATAATAATACCAATACTGGTTGGTGGTTGACCTACCCGTCTGAAAAATATGAGTTCGTCAGTTGGGATGATGACATTCCCAATATATGTAAAAATAAAAAATGTTCCAAACCACCAACCAGAATAATAGTAATAACAACAACAATAAGAATGACATAATACATAATAATTATGATACAAACACATATCTAAGAATCTCCCACAACATTAGACCCCTAATCCAGAGAACACAACGGTGCTTGGTTTCTTACCCCCAACCGGATGTCGTTTGGGATCACCTCCCATCAATCCTCATCTTCCATTCCATGCTTAAAATTTCCCATGGTTTTCCCCTATCTTTTCATTCCCAATTCCTTGTGGTAAATCCTAATTTCTGCTGATAAACCTCTAGTTTTCATGATCAACTCCAATTTCTTGATGGTGACATTCCGCTTTTTTTTGCTGGTTAAACCTGAATATTTCGTTCTGCGTTTCCCCACTGTTGGCGGCAGGTCTAGCAGAACTTGCAACGCCTCGCTGACTTCGGCTTTGGCTTCGGCCGCTTTGGCCAGCTCCGCCATTTCCTGACGGGAAGTTTGAGGGGCCCTCAGATATGGATCAAACAACATTCAGGGTTGATATATCTATATATATATATCTATATATATACATATATCTATATATCTATATATCTATATATCTATATATCTATATATCTATATATCATTATATCATTATATATCTATATATGTATCATATATATCTATATATTTAATATATGTACAATATATGTATATCGAACTAGTTCATGGGGTGAGCAACAAACAAGACCTCGGGGGACGACCTCGGGGATCTCGAAAAGGCGGCGTCCTTGTCTTCCTCCGTCATCGTCATGGTGTCCTGTTGCCATCCCAGGAGACTGCAGATTTCACATCAGTTCAGTTGCGAAAGGGGGTCCACAATGTTACAAGATGTTACCCTCTGGTAAACTGTTACATTTTACATCATTTTACTATGGAAAATCAAAAAATTATTCAGAAGGGTAAATCAACGAACTTTCTATGGCCATGTTCAATAGTTATGTAACAGTTTACCAGAGTGTACCTAAGGACCTACACGACACGTCAACGTGTTTTATCATCCTGGGCTTATCTCGAAGATTGGATCCAATTGGATTGTGTTTTGGGATCTCTGGCACCTCCAAAGCATCTGCCAAGCCCAAGTCTTGCAACCTGAGGCCCAGATAGGCCCAGTGAAGACATCAACATTGAAATGCCCTTGTCTTTGCTAATCTTGGCTTATTCACCATCTGCGATAGTGGGAAAAACATGAAAAAAACACTCACTTTCGTAAAATAGATCTGGAAATATCTGGAAGTCTTGCCCACCTCAAGCAGTGAAAATCTGCCCACGTCGAAACTCCCACAGGTCACCAACATCTGTCGCCAGTCGCTGCAGTTTTGGAGCTCTGCCCATGGCCCTTCACTTTGCATCCACGCCACGCTTTTCCATCAATCAACCGTTCTTCCCATTAGAAAATTAGAAATGGGAGTCGGTTCCCATCAATCAATAATAGTAGTGTCATGTCGTGTCCCATCAATCAAGGGGTATTTCCTGTCAAACATTCCATTTATTTCCCATCAATCAACAGCCATTTCCCATCAAGCATGGTAGTTATTTGACATAAAATAAACAGTTTTTCCAATCAATACATATTGGTCCTATATATAAGAATGGTAGCTATATTTCATATCAATCCATACTCTTTTTCCCATCAAACATGGGTGTTTTTCCACAACGTTGATTGAAACCACATCTGGTTTTCACGTACCTCCGCTCCGCTTGGCCGAGCAGCTTGCGTCGCCGTTTTTGGGGCACCTGCATCCATTCAGGCCGAAAAAAAAACGTACTGCCTGGGGAAATGGCTGGAACCGTCGTGGTGTTTGGAAAAGTCCACCTCCTCAGCCATTTTCGCCGCTTCGCTGGGTCCTTCGCCTGGCCATCAGTTTCCAGGTGAAGGATGACGGCTGTGTTCATCACGATGCTGGCATCAGTGTTTTGGCTGTAGAACTCGGGAAGGGAACCACAAACATTAACATTGATCCGATTTTGTGTTTGGTATCTTGCCCACATTATGACGCATACCCAAACGAGCATCATTTGACAAGTTACCCCAAAAAAAGCAGAAACGGCATTTAATGCCAACATCGGATTAATCAACCCCCCCCCTGGTAGATAGGGGGGTACCTTCTGGCTAGTTTCTTGACCACCCCTTAATAGAAAGCAACTCTGAACCATAAAAATTTGGATATGGCTTACGTCAATTAGATCTTAATAGAATTCTATTGGATTTGTTAAAATCTCATGGATCAGAAAGGTGGTTGATTAATCGGGGGCAAGCCATGGTTATTATTAATGGGGGACATGGGCTTATGGGGGGTACCCTTTGGGAGCTATCCAAACTGATGATTTTTATAAAGATTTTAATTAGAAATCGATCATTTGGGGAATAGTCATTTTTTGAATTTTTCAATGATCAACTTAAACCTTAAGTATAACAATGATGATTAAGAAAAAGGTAAAAACAAATTGGAAATAAATAGAATTGGAAATAAAAATTGTTGGATAAAAAATTGATTTCAGCACTGGTGGTTTTTTAATCGGGGGGGTTATTAATCCTGGGGGACCACCTTTTTTTAAATTACATTTTTTGGCGGGGGCAGAGGGGGTTGACTAATACCGCGGGGATTATTAATCCTAACTTGGCATTACCGCAATTTACCATTATGTTGGCAGAGTTTCACTGTTCTACCCGTTTGACTTGTTTCTCTTTTTGGGGGTTGCTTTCTCCTATCAGCAGGCATCACGCTTCGCTGCAGCAAAAAAAACACGCCTTCCTTCTGAACTTTCGGTTCTTCAGGCCTTGAAGAGCTGATGAAACTTATTTGACAAGACAAGGGGAACTTCAGCACGTGTACCCGGTACCGTAAACGTTTACAGTTCGCGAACTGGAAAATCACTATCTTTAAGTTCGGTAAATCAACGAACTAAATGTGCCATGTTCAATAGCTATTTTGACATAACCAGAGGGTAGGCCTTCCCAAAATGACCCCAGCACGTCGCTGATATTGGAATCCCAACTCCACCAGGGTTGACAGACCCAGTTTCTGCAATCGACCTGGCACCGATCGCATCAAATCCCGAGTTATGGAAGGTGGTTTCAATCCCCCCTGAAAAATATGAGTTCGTCAGATTGGATCATCATCCCAACTATTGGGGAAATATAATTTATGTTCCAAACCACCAACCAGTTGTGTATATCTGTTCATGCTGTAAACTTGTGAAAGTATATATACATAGCCAAAGCATATTCATGGTTGTTCATTCAATTTACACGCTGTTTAAGGGATAATTATGTCGATTTATGGGATGTGCATGGTCCATGCATGGTTGTTTATGGTTACTTAGTATAACATGTTCACCAGTCCAGATAGACTATGGATCTATGGGGGGTAGTAAAATATAATGAAACTAGCCATACATCATCATACATCATCATACATCATCCCAAGTGGAAATACTAAAAGAAAGGAAGGAGTACAGAATCCCTGCCAGGTCACCACTTCAAGAAAAAGCGCTTTAGTTTTTCTTGGTAATAATTTGGTACAATCTGGTTATTGCCATGGAAAATCACCATGCCTATTAAGTTCGGTAAATCATCTATTTATTTCGATTAGGGCCATCTATACCATGGCTATGTAACAAATAACCAGAGGGTATGTATAGTGGATAATATGATCCCTTGATTTCGGCGCGGCGGAATCGGCGACTCGGAAAACCGGCGCCTTTCTTCGGAGCTTCCTCAGCTGCAACCGATACGCGACGATGGTGGACCAGGAAGTCGCCAGGGATTATTCACCGCGAAAAAGGTGATTGACCCCCGGTAAAAATGCTGGTTGGACCACGAAAAAATGTGATCTACCTAACAAAAAGCTGATGTTAACCATGAGCAAATGGAGAGTTTTTCATGCAAAATTTGAGATGCTTTATGGGATTTATGTGTGTTTGTGCTGTTCTCCCCATGGAAATGATGATGTTACATGTAGCAAATACTGCGACGTTGCAAACATACTTCGGGGATAAAGCCAACGTGAACTCGAAAAAAGGTGGGGATATGCGAACAGTTGAGATGTTGCACGGCATGACCAGGGATAAATCATCAGCAGCTATGGCCAATACCTCGAGGGTGTGACTTCTGGGGTCGTATCAGATGTCTGGCTCAGACCTATCATTCCTGAGATGTGATGTGTCCACATGTTGTTCCGTTACTAGATTCCTGTTGAATGGTCCACGTTACTCGCCTGTTTCTATCCACAAGTTTGTTGGTTGTCTTCAATTTTACTTCATCGGCAATTCAGTGTATCAGCCATCTTCTTGAACCCACTTGTGACCCATGTCACAACTGGGTTCCATTTGGTCTTTTGCTTCTTAACTTCGCATGTTTGTTAGATTTCCCATTTCAGATATACACTACCAGTTCACTAAAACATATCCTTTTTGTATCTATTTGTGCCAGTTGCAGCTTGCACCCATTTGACTGTAACTACCAGTCAATGCATTACTATGAGTACCAAAGAAGAAAAGGCACCCCATGGTCCTTGGACGACCAGTCAAAATATTAGTGTCGTACCACTTAAATCATCAAACCAGACATCATTAAATCATTACCAAATGGTAGTTAGATTCGTTAGATGATATTAAATCCCCATTCTCGTTGCTTCAAGTCCATTTGACTACAAGTTCAAGCATCAAATTTAAATGTCTGGGAAACTCAATTCGTATGTCAAAGTCCTTGGCTCCCCATGTATGTGTTTTGGTGAATATGGATACAACCGTAGCTCCTAACAGCTCCACATCCCATACATGTAGAACTGATAACCATCAACCCAGGTTCAACTTACTACTAGGAGGTGTCCGTTTCGTCATGGCTACCCTTAAAATCATCCAAGTCATGGATGAGCACTTTAGTATTGAAACCCATGGTGACTTGGGGGGTCCCCCATGACGAAACGGAAACCTCTACTTTATCATTGGCAAGATCCCCATATTTTTGCTGGTTGTGCCCATACATCAGGCCTAAGCTGACGCGCATACCTTTGCTAATAATTTGAGTTTATGGGGGATACAACGAACTAGTATTCATGTGTTTTCTTGAAGCGACCAAGAGAACTGGGGGCCCCTCACATTGTCTGTTTGGAGGATATTTGGATATTTCATATATTCGTGTGATATTTTGCGGGAAGATATATAGGATGGATACCCAACTTGATACTTGGATATACTTGGCCATGCTGAAAATGGATGAAATGATACCCCTTGGTTCGATGCTTCATCCCCTTGACATGTCCCAACTTCTGACCAAAATGAGGAGATCCCCCAAAGTCACCATGCTTGGTTCACTAGGTCATGGCCTCGAAATCAAAATCTCCCGTTTAAGAAGTCCCTTGAAAAATGGTCCACATCTGAAAACCCCCATCCGTCCTGTGTCTAGAATCCACTGTCTAAAGCCAAAATCCACTTACTAGAATCACTAAGATTAGGATATGACATGCCAATGATTCCCTGGTTTTTTTTGTGCGTTAAAAAACAATCTTTAAAAATATGACTTACTTCGTCAATGGGTTTCGGATGACATCCCTTCAATATGACATGGAAAATAAAAGCCATTTATGTTTGAAACCACCATTTCTACAACCAGTTCCAGTAAGTTCCAGTAGCAGTAACCACTTCAACAGTAGATTCTAAAATTCTATAGATGATCCAATAGATGATCCACTAGTAATACTGAATCAATAGATGATCCAATGATTCCAGTCACCCCTGTCCCGGCCCCGGCCTCGGCCTCGGCGGTGGTTTGTTGTGTTTTTGGGTCCAAGCCCAAGGCCGCTTGTAGGCCCAAGGCGCGGAGCCTCCGTTGATGGGTTGAAAGGGGCAAAAACCAGAGGGAAAGTGGTGAAAACATGAGGAAACATTGGGAAACATGCTGAAAACCTGATAGAAAAAATCATAAAAGTGGGGAAGATGATGAAAACATCATGAACAATTATGCGAAATTGTGGAACATGATGAAAAACAGGATGAACAAATTGGGACAAATTCTGAAAAAATGATGGAACACATTTTAAAGCATGATGAAAACATGATGGAAGAATGGTCAAAATGGTGGGAAAATGATGAAACAATCTGATTTTTATGAGTCGCTAATCATGTGTTTATCCGATAAGACTTGGATCGTCCAAAGAACATGATCGCAAACGGTTTGTCCGTTTGTCCTTTTGCCCTTTGGGGATGCCAAATTTCAGATTTCTGTGTCCTTGAAACCATATGGTCGAAACCATTCGAAGAGTGGTTGAAATCCCCCAAGTTTGCTGGTTATATATATAATATTATATATATATATTATATATATATTATATATATATTATATATATATATTATATATATATATATGTATATATTGGTTATATCATGTTAGATCCCCATTTCATTGTTTCCATTCATGGGGGTACCTCCAAATCATCCCTTTTAATAGTAGTTTCCACTATAAACCATCCATTTATCTAGGGTACCCATATTTCTGTTATATCCCCATTTGGCCTTCTACTCATGTCGGAAACCACCAAGCACATGCCCTGGCATCTGGCCTTCTTGGCTTTGACTCTCCCTGGAGAAGTGGCCAGTGCAGGAGCAAAAGATAGGCTGCGTCGAAAAAATCTGAGTTATTATCCCCCCAAAATGATAAATTATGATAAATTGCTAGTTTAAATGATAAAAGATTATTTTCATAGGGACAATGATATTGAATACATGATGATCAATCAGTTGATTTAGCCAGCTACCCTCAGACACACCCAATTCAGCGATGTTGGCGGCCCAATTCGCCTCTGCACTTTGCCCTTTTGGCTCATTGGCCTCCACAAGGCTCAGTGAACCCACCAACATGGAGATGGAAATCCCCAGGAATGTGGTTAACAATAATGTTGTTATAAGATATAATTGGGATAATAATGGAATAATTCTAAGTATTAATGGGAATATAATGGGATAATAATGGATAGTAATGTGGTTAATCAGTTAATCACCATTTTTTCAGGTGGTATAAACCGTTCCCAAATGGGTGCTTTATGACATTGACATGGGCCACAGTATCCCTATGAGGAAATGAGATCCCATCCCACTGTCCTTTTCCCGGCTCGTGTAATGACCAGTGGCCTGGTTCCGGTCATGTCAATCAGGAGTTTGGGCAGATTTCTGAACAATGGGCACTGGTAAAAACAATTGCCCCCAATGATCACCCCAGCAATCGTTCCTGGTTCTGGAAATTCTGAGTTGAAGACTAGGATAGATAAAAGTCGGCCAAAGCGTTAAGAAAAATAGCGCCACTTGCATATCAACAGCATTTCACATTCTGCGAGAAACTGTTCCCCACGGCCCTTGGGTGTGTGGTTCAACATTCCCAAAATGTTCCCCTGCGCCTTGGTCGCCTTGTCGGTGGCTGATTTCTTCGCTTCTTCTTTGGGAGCAGCACTTCCTTTGGGTTTCCCAGCAACCTGTGTAGCTCCACCTTTTTCTTGAGCTTTGTTTGTTGATGTTACATCCTTGGCCCCAGCAGAAGCGGCTTTCTCCTTGGCTGGGGCTGCAGCCGCATCTTTAGCAGTAGCTGCTCCCTTCTTGCTTTTCTCCTCTGCTGCGGCTGCAATTGTAGCTGCTGGCGTGTCTTTAGCAGTAGCTGCTCCCTTCTTGCTTTTCTCCTCTGCTGCGGCTGCAGTTGTAGCTGCTGGCGTGTCTTTAGCAGTAGCTGCTCCCTTCTTGCTTTTCTCCTCTGCTGCAGCTGCAGTTGTAGCTGCTGGCGTGTCTTTAGCAGTAGCTGCTCCCTTCTTGCTTTTCTCCTCTGCTGCAGCTGCAGTTGTAGCTGCTGGCGTGTCTTTAGCAGTAGCTGCTCCCTTCTTGCTTTTCGCCTCTGCTGCGGCTGCAGTTGTAGCTGCTGGCGTGTCTATAGCAGTAGCTGCTCCCTTCTTGCTTTTCTCCTCTTCTGCGGCTGCAGTTGTAGCTGCTGGCGTGTCTTTAGCAGTAACTGCTCCCTTCTTGCTTTTCTCCTCTGCTGCGGCTGCAGTTGTAGCTGCTGGCGTGTCTTTAGGAGTAGCTGCTTCCTTCTTGCTTTTCTCCTCTGCTGCGGCTGCAACAGTAGCTGCTGGTGATTCTTTGGTTTTGGCTGCCTCCTCTGCTTCCGCTGCTTGAGTTACACTTCCAGTTGGTGTTGGGCCAGCGGGTGCAGCTGCATCTGCTGCAGCTTCACCTTGTGGCGGAGTGCTCATTGTAGTACCATCTTGTGCTGATGGCTCTGACACTGCTGCTGCATCTGGGCTTTCAGCGGCTGCTGGGGCACCAGGTGTGTGTTTTGTGGCTGCCTCCTCTGCTGCCACCGCTTCAGTTGCACTTCCAGTTGGTGGTGGGGCAGCGGGTGCAGCTGCATCTGCTGCAGCTTCACCTTGTGGCGGAGTGCTCATTGTAGTGCCATCTTGTGCTGATGGCTCTGACACTGCTGCTGCATCTGGGCTTTCAGTGGCTGCTGGGGCACCAGGTGTGTCTTTTGTGGCTGCCTTCTCTGCTGCCACCGCTTCAGTTGCACTTCCAGTTGGTGGTGGGGCAGCGGGTGCAGCTGCATCTGCTCCAGCTTCACCTTGTGGCGGAGTGCTCATTGTAGTGCCGTCTTGTGCTGCTGGCTCTGACACTGCTGCTGCAGCTGTATCTGGGCTTTCAGCGGCTGCTGGGGCACCAGTTGTGTCTTTTGTGGCTGCCTCCTCTGCTGCCACCGCTTCAGTTGCACTTCCAGTTGGTGGTGGGGCAGCAAGTGCAGCTGCATCTGCTGCAGCTTCACCGTGTGGCAGAGTGCTCATTGTAGTGCCGTCTTGTGCTGGGCCTTCAGTCGCTGCTGGGGCACTAGGTGTGTCTTTTGTGGCTGCCTCCTCTGCTGCCACCGCTTCAGTTGCACTTCCAGGTGGTGGTGGAGCGGCGGGTGCAGCTGCACCTGCTGTAGCTTCACCTGGTGGCAGAGTGCTTGTTTCAATGCCATCTTGTGCTGCTGGCTCTGACACTGCTGCTGCATCTGGGCTTTCAGTGGCTGCTGGGGCACCAGGTGTGTCTTTTGTGGCTGCCTCCTTTGCCGCCACCGCTTCAGTTGCACTTCCAGTTGGTGTTGGGGCAGCGTGTCCAGCTGCATCTGCTGCAGCTTCACCTTGTGGCGGAGTGCTCGTTGTAGTGCCATCTTGTGCTGATGGCTCTGACACTGCTGCTGCAGCTGTATCTGGGCTTTCAGCGGCTGCTGGGGCACCAGGTTTGTCTTTTGTGGCTGCCTCCTCTGCTGCCGCCACTTCAGTTGCACTTCCAGTTGGTGTTGGGGCAGCGGGTCCAGCTGACTCTGCTGCAGCTTCACCTTGTGGCGGAGTGCTTGTTTCAGTACCATCTTGTCCTGCTGACTCTGACACTACTGCTGCATCTGGGCTTTCAGTGGCTGCTGGGGCAGGTGTGTCTTTTGTGGCTGCCTCCTCTGCTGCCACCGCTTCAGTTGCACTTCCAGTTGGTGTTGGGGCGGCCGCTGCAGCTGCATTTGCTGCAGCTTCACCTTGTAGCAGAGTGCTTGTTTCAATGCCATCTTGTGCTGCTGGCTTTGACGCTGTTGCTGCAGCTGCATCTGGGCTTTCAGTGGCTACTGGGGCACCAGGTGTGTCTTTTGTGGCTGCCTCCTCTGCTGCCACCGCAGCGGGTGCAGCTGCATCTGCTGCAGCTTCACCTTGTGGCGGAGTGCTGGTTGTAGTGCCATCTTGTGCTGATGGCGCTGACACTGCTGCTGCATCTGGGCTTTCAGTGGCTGCTGGGACACCAGATGTGTCTTTTGTGGCTGCCTCCTCTGCTGCCGCCACTTCAGTTGCACTTCCAGTTGGTGTTGGGGCAGCAGGTGCAGCTGCGTCTGCTGCAGCTTCACCTTTTGGTAGAGTGCTCATTGTAGTGCCGTCTTGTGCTGCTGGCTGTGACGCTGTTGCTGCAGCTGCATCTGGGCTTTCAATGGCTACAGGGGCAGGTGTGTCTTTTGTGGCTGCCTCCTCTGCTGCCACCGCTTCAGTTGCACTTCCAGTTGGTGGTGGGGCAGCGGGTGCAGCTGCATCTGCTGCAGCTTCACCTTGTGGCGGAGTGCTCATTGTAGTGCCATCTTGTGCTGATGGCTCTGACACTGCTGCTGCATCTGGGCTTTCAGTGGCTGCTGGGGCACCAGGTGTGTCTTTTGTGGCTGCCTTCTCTGCTGCCACCGCTTCAGTTGCACTTCCAGTTGGTGGTGGGGCAGCGGGTGCAGCTGCATCTGCTCCAGCTTCACCTTGTGGCGGAGTGCTCGTTGTAGTGCCATCTTGTGCTGATGACTCTGACACTGCTGCTGCATCTGGGCTTTCAGTGGCTGCTGGGACACCAGGTGTGTCTTTTGTGGCTGCCTCCTTTGCCGCCACCGCTTCAGTTGCACTTCCAGTTGGTGTTGGGGCAGCGTGTCCAGCTGCATCTGCTGCAGCTTCACTGTGTGGCGGAGTGCTCGTTGTAGTGCCATCTTGTGCTGATGGCTCTGACGCTGTTGCTGCAGCTGCATCTGGGCTTTCAGTGGCTACTGGGGCACCAGGTGTGTCTTTTGTGGCTGCCTCCTCTGCTGCCACCGCAGCGGGTGCAGCTGCATCTGCTGCAGCTTCACCTTGTGGCGGAGTGCTGGTTGTAGTGCCATCTTGTGCTGATGGCGCTGACACTGCTGCTGCATCTGGGCTTTCAGTGGCTGCTGGGACACCAGATGTGTCTTTTGTGGCTGCCTCCTCTGCTGCCGCCACTTCAGTTGCACTTCCAGTTGGTGTTGGGGCAGCAGGTGCAGCTGCTTCTGCTGCAGCTTCACCTTTTGGTAGAGTGCTCATTGTAGTGCCGTCTTGTGCTGCTGGCTGTGACGCTGTTGCTGCAGCTGCATCTGGGCTTTCAATGGATACAGGGGCAGGTGTGTCTTTTGTGGCTGCCTCCTCTGCTGCCACCGCTTCAGTTGCACTTCCAGTTGGTGGGGCAGCGGGTGCAGCTGCATCTGCTGCAGCTTCACCTTGTGGCGGAGTGCTCATTGTAGTGCCGTCTTGTGCTGCCGGCTCTGACACCGTTGCACTTTCAACAGCTGCAGCCGCTATGGGGCCTCTGGCTATTGTTGCCAAACCTGAGGCACTGGAAGGTTGTGCAGCTGTTGCTGCTGGTGCTGATGTTGGATCTGCTGTGGACGTTGGAGCACCTGGTGCACTTGTACTTTCAACAGCTGCAGCTGCTATGGGACGGCTGGCTAGTCTTGCCAAACCTGAGGCACTGGAAGGTTGTGCAGCTGTTGCTGCTGGTGCTGATGTTGCATCTGCTGTGGGCATGAGAGCACCTGGTGCACTTGTACTTTCAACAGCTGCAGCTGCTATGGGGCCGGTGGCTGGTGTTGCCAAACCTGAAGCACTGGAAGGTTGTGCAGCTGTTGCTGCTGGGGCTGATGTTGGATCTGCTGTGGGCGTTGGAGCACCTGGTGCACTTGTACTTTCAACAGCTGCAGCTGCTATGGGGCCGGTGGCTGGTGTGGCCAAACTCGAAGCACTAGGCAGTTGTGAAGCTGTTGCTGCTGGTGCTGATGTTGGATCTGCTGTGGGCGTTGGAGCACCTGGTGCACTTGTACTTTCAACAGCTGCAGCTGCTATGGGACCGCTGGCTGGTGTAGTCAAACCTGAGGCACTGGAAGGTTGTGAAGCTGTTGCTGCTGGTGCTGATGTTGCATCTGCTGCGGACGTTGGAGCACCTGGTGCACTTGCACTTTCAACAGCTGCAGCTGCTATGGGGCCGCTGGCTATTGTTGCCAAACCTGAGGCACTGGAAGGTTGTGCAGCTGTTGCTGCTGGTGCTGATATTGGATCTGCTGTGGGCGTTGGAGCACCTGCAGCTGTTGCTGCTGGTGCTGATGTTGGGTCTGCTGTGGTCGTTGGAGCACCTGGTGCACTTTTATTTTCAACAGGTGCAGCTGCTATGGGGCCAGCGGCTGGTGTTGCCAAACCTGAGGCACTGGAAGGTTGTGCAGCTGTTGCTGCTGGCGCTGATGTTGGATCTGCTGTGGACTTTGGAGCACTTGGTGCACTTGTGCTTTCAACAGCTGCAGCTGCTATGGGACGGCTGGCTAGTCTTGCCAAACCTGAGGCACTGGAAGGTTGTGCAGCTGTTGCTGCTGGTGCTGATGTTGCATCTGCTGTGGGCATGAGAGCACCTGGTGCACTTGCACTTTCAACAGCTGCAGCTGCTATGGGGCCGCTGGCTATTGTTGCCAAACCTGAGGCACTGGAAGGTTGTGCAGCTGTTGCTGCTGGTGCTGATATTGGATCTGCTGTGGGCGTTGGAGCACCTGCAGCTGTTGCTGCTGGTGCTGATGTTGGGTCTGCTGTGGGCGTTGGAGCACCTGGTGCACTTTTATTTTCAACAGGTGCAGCTGCTATGGGGCCAGCGGCTGGTGTTGCCAAACCTGAGGCACTGGAAGGTTGTGCAGCTGTTGCTGCTGGCGCTGATGTTGGATCTGCTGTGGACTTTGGAGCACCTGGTGCACTTGTGCTTTCAACAGCTGCAGCTGCTATGGGACCGCTGGCTGGTGTACTCAAACCTGAGGCACTGGAAGGTTGTGAAGCTGTTGCTGCTGGTGCTGATGTTGCATCTGCTGCGGACGTTGGAGCACCTGGTGCACTTGTACTTTCAACAGCTGCAGCTGCTATGGGGCCGCTGGCTATTGTTGCCAAACCTGAAGCACTGGAAGGTTGTGCAGCTGTTGCTGCTGGTGCTGATATTGGATCTGCTGTGGGCGTTGGAGCACCTGCAGCTGTTGCTGCTGGTGCTGATGTTGGGTCTGCTGTGGGCGTTGGAGCACCTGGTGCACTTTTATTTTCAACAGGTGCAGCTGCTATGGGGCCAGCGGCTGGTGTTGCCAAACCTGAGGCACTGGAAGGTTGTGCAGCTGTTGCTGCTGGCGCTGATGTTGGATCTGCTGTGGACTTTGGAGCACCTGGTGCACTTGTGCTTTCAACAGCTGCAGCTGCTATGGGACCGCTGGCTGGTGTACTCAAACCTGAGGCACTGGAAGGTTGTGAAGCTGTTGCTGCTGGTGCTGATGTTGCATCTGCTGCGGACGTTGGAGCACCTGGTGCACTTGTACTTTCAACAGCTGCAGCTGCTATGGGGCCGCTGGCTATTGTTGCCAAACCTGAAGCACTGGAAGGTTGTGCAGCTGTTGCTGCCGTTGGATCCGCTGTTGGCGCCTGTTCAACCGCGAGCCATGAACCAGACTTTGCAACGTCCGCATGGCCATCATGACATTTGCACATAAGTACAGTTTCTACAAGTGTACAGTATGCGAATGATGTTACACACTATCAAAAGTACTATATTACATATAAATATGTGTATGTATATATATATATATATATGTAAATTGCAATAATATCAGTAGTCCGCACTGATCATTCGGAGTCCAGTTTTCCAAAACCAACTCCTCGCCTGGTGTTGGCTCGCAGCAAATCCTCGCTGGGACAACTGATGGAGGTGTGAAACTGCCATTTTGTGGGGGATATGCACAACGTGTACATATGTGTACATGTGATTACATGTATATATATATATACAAATACAGGTGTACATAATGTACATATATATATATTATACATACATACAGCGCATAGATGTTTGTTTGATGTATGCTGGTCGGTTTCAATCTGGCTCTTGTCAATGGGGTATACGAGTACCTGGGGATATCTCCGCAACAAACAGCTCCAGTGATGGGATATTGGCCCCAACCTTCAAGAGCTGCAAAGCTATGCAGCCAGAAACGTGTGGCTCTTGTCAAATCTAGCGAACCTGAGATCAAGACTAAACGCAACAGACATAAAGCCAGATTTGGGGATGGTTGATTACAATTACCCATCCAAATTTCCCTCTAATTTGCCTACGTTTTACATTGGTTTACATCATCTTCCCATTTGTTACTTGGTTTACCTCCGACATTTTTTTACCATCCACACTTCACGGTGCTTCCACGGTCCCACGGTCCAACCTTCAGCACCTTCAGTCTCCGGTCGCCAGCGGCCCTGCAGATACAGAATGGATGTAAGATCTATATCCACTGCCTATCCCCTTATATAGATGGTTAAATCATGTTAAATCCATATTCCAAGGAGGTTTAATCTATATGGGACTTAATATGGATTGAATTCTATCTTACTGGATAGAATATTTTGGGGGGAACTGCACTGGATATATTGGATACATGATTGCGTATCCAGAAAAATTGATGAACATTGTATAACATTGTAATGATCTAACTCAATAATGTTCAAACCCAAACCTAGGACTTGAACCGTTACTCAAAAAAAAACGGAAGTTCAATCTACGCCTTGGAATAGACCACGCACAACATCCAAACATCAAAAAACACGCAGTGTCCTTTGATTCCCATCCATGGAGTCGTGCATTGACTCGCTGTCGCTCCTGAGTCAGCGAGATGGGCCGTCCCAGGCCGTCCCAAAGAATGTGTCATCCAATGAATGGTAAACAGGGAAAAACCATGAAACATCATGAAACATGGAAGATTTTTAGGGAAATATGGATATAGGAAACTCGACAGTTTGTATCGAGTTCTTTCAGGAGTTCTTTTTCAACTATACTGTACCCATATGTACCTATACGTCATGTTACATTTTCTGTCAAAGCATATTGTTTGGTTATCCCCCCAGGTGGATTTGTCGAAAACAAGGCTTTTCCAAAATGCCGCAGTTGACCATTCTTTTCCCCATTCAAACGGCCACATGGTACATTCCCATTTTTCGATTTCCAGAATTAGTTGGTTCAATCACTATGGTGAAATCCCCATTTTAACTGGTGAAAATCCCACTCATAGAGGTTAAATCCGCATTTTAGCTGGTGAAATCACCATTTTTTGCTGCCCAACTCCCCCACGAATTTTCCGAATATCTTCGCCTCCAGGTGCCGAAGGTCCCCTGGTTGCGCATGAGCACCTCAGGATTTGGGACTTGGAGGTTTTAGCCCATAAGAATAGGGGTGCTTAATATAGTTTGATATGGGTTAATAGGGATAATGATAGGATAATCTATAGATCTTGATAGGATAGTTTATCCTTAATAGTTTAAAATAAAAAAATGGATAATGATAGGACAACAACGGCCTATTAAATCTATGAATCAATTTCCCTCATCATACAGCTGCATGGCTGGCGAGGAACCCCCCCGAACAGGCCATGGAGGTTTCGTTCGCTGGGACAGTCATCGAACTAAATGGGGCATTTTACAGCAAGCCATGTTTGATTGAGGGTAGGTGCATGGATCTGTGGGTTCATTGGTTTATTTGTCTGCCCGTGGCTGTTCCACGAGGGTTCATAGGCACTGGCATATGCATATGGATGTGCTTATGCATGTGTAGATATGTGTATGTGCATACTTGTTCGGATGTATGTGTATGCATATGCGTATCAATATGCATATACAATGATATATAATGATATATAATGATATATAATGATATATAATGATATATAATCATATATTATATAATCATATATAACCATATATCATCAAATATAATCATATACAATCATATATAGTCATATATACAATCATATATAGTCACATATACAATCATATATATACAATAATATATATATATATTCATATATAATCATATATATATAATCATATATATATAATCATGTATAATCATGTATAATCATATATATATATATACTCATATATTATCATATATAATCATAGATAATCATACATAATCATATATAATCATACATAATCATATATAATCATATATAATCATATATAATCATGTATAATAATATATACTCATATATACTCATATAGACTCATATAATCATATATAATCATATATAATCATACATATATATATATATAATCCTTTATTATTTATCTTTTACAAACACACGCACACTTTGATTAACCATATGTGCGCATGGTTAGGACTTCCATGGGTGCCATCTGATCCCTGCAGGGCCCCGTACGCCCGAAGTTTGGCGACCCACTGCGGCTGCGAACCTGCAACGGTGCATCATGCATCAGCTAGGGATGAAAAGTAAGAAATGTCTTTTGGTACTGAAATATGTATACCCTCTGGTAAACTAACATAGCTATGGAAAATCACCATTTTCAATGGGAAAATCCACTATAAATCACCATTTTCAATAGCTATGTTAAATTACCAGAGGGTATATTATGTATATATTAACAACTATATGTTTCTAGCATAGTATGCATCAAAGACTTCAGTCACTGAAATGTGGTCTCTCCTTTCGTCCTTCTTGTTTCGTCCTTCTGATTTCTTCGTTTTTATTACCATGGGGGCTATGGGGAGTATGTTCCCTGACCCCCGGCCTCCAGTTGTGGAAGTCTGGTCATTCGCTCCAAGCCCTGTCAGGGGACTTGGCCGAAAAAAACACCGATGGACCAGGAAATATACATATATTATCACACATAATCAGAAATATGTATGTATGTTCATCCCCATATATATATATATCACCTCATATAATAAATATGTATAATATTATACAAATATAGAAGTTGTCATATATGATGTTGTTATATTATATCACACATACATAATCACAAATATATATGATGATATAATATCAACTAATATATAATAACTAATATTCACCCATATATGTAATAACTAGTCGTCAATACTGTGCTTAAAACAGTAATAAACCACCTATTTGGGAATTGTTTATACCAACTATTTATGGTGATGACTGGGGGATGGTTTATTATTGTTTTAACCACATTACTATCCATTATTATCCCAATATAATCCCATTAATACCCATAATTCTTCCATTATTATCCAACTTATCTCCTATTACTATCCCTTATTGTTAACCATAAACCAATATCATATCAGGCTATCATGCTCCAACGAGATGTGAGAAGCGTCACTTTTTTCCACCGTGCCTTGCCTCGGGCTGGCCGCGCGAACGGAGCCTTGGTGGCTTGGTGGCCGGCTCCGTTGACGATCGTTTGAGATGTCCATGTCGTGATGAAGGGTTGGTAATGATTAACAATGGTTACCCTCTGGGAAACATACAAAAAACCATGGAAAATCACCATTTTTGATGGGAAAACTCACTATTTCGACTGGGCCATTTTTCAATAGCTATGTTAGTTTACCAGAGGGTAGTAATCGTTAGTAATGGTTAGTATTGGTTAATATATAATGGTGAATAACGATTAGTAATGCCTGTCAATGGAAACTATACCCTCTGGTTATTTAACATATAGCCATTGAAGCCATGGCCCATAGAAATAGATGAAAGAAATGATGATTTGGTGTAAACCCCCATGGACAAGTGCCAGCGCTGGGATGCTCCCATCTGAGCAAAATAGCCATATCCTGGAGGTAAGATTCCCCCGGGGCAAACCCATCTTCATTCTTTGCCATATTAATAACAAATTATAATATGAAACCATATACAGATATACATCTATATAGATATCATTACATATGAGATCAAATTAATATAAATTGCACAGTAAAAATATGTTCATCTCACTCCCCATGCTGGTTTTGTCTCAATCCTATCTAGGTCACCCATCGGTCACCCAGGTCCCGAGATACTCCGGCATCTCCGGTGTCGGATGCCGCGGATGCCAAAGCTCCTCAGGTCCCGCCAGTGCCTTCAGCGGAGCCGTTTTAACCATCAAAAAAAAACAGGGATGGACAGGTGGATTATGGTGGATTTATGGGACGAAAAAGGGTGAAACATGGGGGCTAACATGGGAATTACCAGCTTTAAAAAATGGGGCGTGAAAACGGGGTTTAATGGCAATAGACCCTTGAAATCAACCATGGGACTCAACGAATGACTATTGTGGAAGTCGCAAAAATGACCAATTCCAATAGGAAAGATTTTTTTCAAGATATTGGAATCGGTCATTCCTCTGGCTCCTAGGGAATTCGAACATGGAATGTGTTTCAGGGGTTCCATGTAAGCTTTCCAGAGGACCAGCTGGCAGATCAACTCCTCGGGAGCAAGACTGGACATGTTCGATTGGGTTTTCTTGAAAGCCATTGAAATGACTGACAAGATAGGTAGGTAATCCCTCCATTCATGGCCCCCAAGGTTTATGTTTAACTTCATATCAACCACCATATATCCAGTTGGACATGTCTCTGCTGTCTCCGTCCATATCGAAAAGGCACACCATTGTTGGACATGGCTCAAAATGATCATCCCCCGAAATGGCATGGGTCTATGGGTACCCCATTCTGCAGCCGCGACCATCTGGACATAGAATGTGAAGTAGCTTTGAGTTTGAATTCGCAGGCTTGTGGCCAAACGTCACCGGAAGTCGCATGGCTGGTGTTTGTTCAAAATTAGTAGAATATAAGAACATACACCAGCCGTAGCCACATCGTGGATAGAGTGCACCGACCGGAGAGGCACCCCATCCGCAGCCTGCAACAGCAACTCCTTCACGGTGGCAGCTGCGGAAGCACCCCGCAGGAACCTGCCAAGGCTCTTTGCAAGGAATCCAGAAATCAAGATTCAAATCCTAAAATGGGTACCAAGTTATGTACAAGTTATATCTGGTTGGTGGTTGACCTACCCATCTGAAAAATGATGGAGTGAGTTCGTCAGTTGGGATGATGACATTCCCAATCTATGGAAAGTCAATCCAAATTCCATGGTTCCAGTCACCACCAACCAGATTATAAACCATTATTATTAACCATCATTAACCACTAATATTCACCATTATTATTAACCATCATGTTCCAGTCACCACCAACCAGATATCCTTCAATGGAACCAACCGGCAGTCTCGATCTCTTAGACCTGTCTCGCTGTCTCAGACCTCACTTTCAGTGGTCGCTGTCGCAGCAGTTGTGACAGTTCTTCAGCTTCAAGCAACGCTGCCTGAGGCATGGAACTTACCGGCTTCATCACCCCTCACTGAATGGCTCGGGTTATGCATGGCTAACTGAGAATTAGTGATATATAGATTGAATTCTAACATCGACTGGAATTTGAATCCATGTGGATCCAGTATGTCACCAAAAACAACCAACTGATTCTTGGCTTTCTTGTGGCCCGAAGAAAATCAAACCCATGGTTTCTATCCTCACCTGCAAGTCGTTCACGAGCAAAATCACGTCGCCCTTGGGGGGAAGATGGGGAAGGGCCAAGGAGAATTTGTGGTGGGTAAACCCACGGGTAACTTGACTTGGATGTGCGAAAATCCATAGTTGCTGGCGGGTCCACAGGTCGCCTGGCCTTTTTCTTTGTTTTGGGGGGTGGGGGGGGGTTTTTGGGGTGGGGGGGGGTGTGGGTTTGGGGGGGGGGGGGGGGGGGGGCGTAATAACGTTCCTTTTGCTGCGTTCGCTTGGACTTTTTTTTTGTTACCTATTTTTATGTTACGCTTGCAGGCGGCCGCATCATCTTGCACGCAAGACGTCATGCTACGCTTGCACGCTGCTGCATCATCTGTACGCAACACGTCGTGCTACGCTTTTGGTCGCAAGTGTTATGTTACGCTTGCACGCTGCTGCATCATCTTTACGCAACACGTCGTGCTACGCTTTTGGTCGCAAGTGTTATGTTACGCTTGCACGCTGCCGCATCATCTTGCACGCAAGACGTCATGCTACGCTTGCACGCTGCTGCATCATCTTTACGCAACACGTCGTGCTACGCTGTTGCTGGGGGGGGTGGGTGGGGTTGGGGGGGGGGGGTTTTGGGGGGGTTGGGGGGGGGGTTGGGGGTTGGGGGGGGGTGGGGTGGGGGGGTGGGCGTAATAACGTTCCTTTTGCTGCGTTCGCTTGGACTTTTTTTTGTTACCTATTTTTATGTTACGCTTGCAGGCTGCCGCATCATCTTTACGCAACACGGCGTGCTTTCCAAGAAAGCTGGAACACAAGTCATTGACAGAAAGTGGAAGGCATTGAAAGACTTTTTGCCAAGCAACTACCACCGAAAGATCAATGGCCCACATGGCAGCCAAGTCAACCCTCGGATGAGACAGCGTGTCTTTCAGTTTTGCTGGCGCAATTCGCTGAAATGGCCGAGCCCAGCACAGTTCTTAAAACAACTGGCAAAGTTGCAAGGAAAAAAATTGTAGCGGCGTTAGTTTTCAGGATGGTGAAAACTTGCCACCTTTGCCTGACGTCTGATTTCCAATGGGCAAAATACCTAAATGATGGTTTCGTAACCAGGCGACTCATGGACCCGTGACCTAGTCCATAGTTTTCCTAGGAAAATGATGTGCAAATGGTGAATTTTCCATGATTTTCCGGGTTGATACTCGGACTTGGCAACAAGCAGCTCCCACCGAAGCCCGTTGGTTCGATCACTGCAGTCCCTAGTTGTTTGGTGAATGCCAATGGTTACATCCCAATATTTAAGTCATACATTCCATATATTGTTAGTCGTTCTTCAGCCATAAATATCTTATGTATCATATATGGGTGTGTCTGAAAATGCTGTATACCTTCACATGGCCATTATAGGGAAAATGATCATTATCCAATGGATTTAGGGGTACCATATCTTCAGACAAACCCATACAGACAAACCCATACAGGTGGAAAGGAAGAACTAGTAAGTAGATCATCAGGGACATTTTTGGAATCGTACTATCTCTTTAGTCATACAGATTCATTGCCTGTTTGTGTTATATAGATTCATCATTCATCGTTTCCATTAAAGGATCGGATTTTCCACCATCGAGTGGAAAGGGGTAGCTCCATTTTTGGAAACCCAAAAATATCCCAATTATCCCAATGTTAAATATCTCATGAGGGTTAAATATATAGATATATCTCCATATATATATATATCCCAATGTTAAATATATCTCTATATCTATATTATATCTCTGAATCTCTATATCTATATTATATATATATATCATGAGCCATATATTCCCATGGTTAAGTTCGCACCGGACCGACCCCTTTTTTTGGGGCCCAACTGCTTCGGCTCCACCAAGGTCAGAGGCACTGCCAGGTACCTCGCCGCGACAGCATAACAACGGATCATAGACAAGTATCATAAAACTGTAGTAATATTACCATCTGGTTAAATAACCAGAGGGTATACAAAACTATTGGGGGTTCCTAAATAGATAAACAATTGACTAATATAGATAAACATTTTTTTTATTCTTTGGGGGGTCCTAAAATAGAATTACCCCAAAGCTCCTGTCCAAGTCATAAATGACCATGGCTTGGTATTGAAACCTATGGCTGGTTGGTGGTTTTAACCATCTTGAAAAAATGATCCATGGTGGTAGTATAGTGATAGCTATATTGATCCATGGTGATAGTACAGTGATCAATTACCATAGGTATCACAACCACAAGTGATAGTATAGTGATACCTATAAAAATAGATGAGCTAGTGATACCTACAGTGATACCTATAAGTAGGTAATAAGTATCATACAACTGATCATTAGTCAATTATCTATATAAGTATGGATGATATAGATAGTTTTAGGTAATCACAACAACTGAATATATATATAGAGATCATATATCATATAGTGATGATAGTAATACTACATTTATCACAACAATCGATACGGTGATACAACATAATATAAGGGTTGTAATAGACAATGATGGACGATATAATAGCTAATTATCATTATCACAATGGATCCTTATATTATACAATGGTTATGAGGATGTTGATAGTAATAAGACAGGGAAGAAGAACCATTATTATTATCACTATACAATATTTAGTATCTTCATTGGCACCATCAGCGCCATGAGCAGAATCATAATCTGAAATTTATTGGTGTTGCATCATCAATATTGTAGGTCAGTATTTCATGTCAACATTTTGGAACCATATATGCAACATCATTCATATCCCTACAATATGTCATGTCAACTTCCTTTTTCCAAACAATATTGGCGATACCAAAAAATCCGGCCACGCAAGCATGAGTTTCCGACGTGATCCCAGACTTGATCGATCCCCTAGAGTTCTCAAGAGTCACAGTGATTTTCCCAGTCCTATGGCTTGAAATACTAACATGTTGCTGTTGAAAATCACCTAATTTTTAGTGGGTATATATCAACTATTTCGACTGGGCCATTTTCAATAGCGAACTGTAACAAATTACCAGAGGGTACCATAAAAACAATGCAATGCTTGGATAAGTTGGATAAGTTGGATATGCCCATTTTTGTGGCTCGTGACATCTCCATTTTCGGCGCCGAAAATATCATCCATATGGAGTCAGAAAAAACGGTGATGGGTTGTACCATATTTTTTTCGCCTGGTTGGTTCACCAGTTAGTCATCTGTCTGATTCAGGGAGGACCCCGATTTTGAATCATCATCCATTCATATTCAACTGAAATGAGGTCATTTCACGTGATTTAAAGGACGGTCACCCTTACTACCCATCATCTACGGTGATCCACATTGATAGTAAGTTGTTAATCATTCACGTATACAATAATAATCAATAATACATATAGCTGGGATATATCCCACATATCTCCTTCGGTAATCAATCATCGCAATGTAAAATCCTTCGTTGAGTTCTATGATTTCCTCAATCTCCATACCTCAATTCAAAAACTGCATTTTCTCAGATGATATCCCCATCATATCCTAAAAAAACACCATTTCTGCTAGCTCAATAAAGCATGAAATCCCACTAATTACGTCACCACTAAATCCGCATTAAGTCATCACTAAATCACCCTTAAAACCCATGAAATCCCATTGAGCCACCGTTGAATCACCATGAAATCACCATGGCGCACCACATCCCCCAGGATGACGGGGCCGGGAGGCCAGGTTTCAGGCACTAAGCCCAACATGCCCTGGTGACACCGATGGAAGGAACCAAAATTCCATGGCATTGGATTGGTTTGGTTGGGGAAAATCTACACCAGAAACCATGGTTTTTACCATCAAATTTCTAGGGCTTTCCGGTGAAAATTTTCCCATCATCCAATTCTATGATCATGGCTATGTCAATCTGCTTGGTGGTTTCAATACCTACCCCTCTGAAAAATGATGGAGTGAAAGTCAGTTGGGATGATGACATTCCCAACTGAATGGAAAAATAAAACATGTTCCAAACCACCAACTAGCAATGGGATTGGAACTGGCAGAAATGCTGGTTGAATGGGACTTATTCATCAACCTTAAAACGGCTATGTTTCAATGGGATTTAAGCAACAAGAATGTTGTGCTTTTTCATGGGAGAATGTACCATCCTGCCAGGGTACTGTATCTGATAATATGATGGGATTATGAAACCAATAACTTTCATAATATCTAGGGATTATCCTTTTCAATTATTCATCTAGGGATTATCCTTTTCAATTATTCATAGCCCATCATTATATCTACTATTGGGATGATATAAAAGTTCTGATACCCTCTTGTAATAATGGGATAACAATTAGAAGAATGGAGGTTTTACCAAGAACCATTGGGATTTTATGGGATTTTGTTGGGGATATACGTGGGATAATGGGATAATGCTGGATATCATAATGGTGCAACCACCAATTACCAATAGGAGGAATTGTGGACAATTGGCATCTATCAAATCAACCATAACTAGATTCAAAATTGTCCAATATCCACATACCAATAGATATGGATATTGCCAATTGATAACTAGATTCTATTGATAGATGCGGATATACCAAAATGGGGATATCAATGCGGATACCCTCCATTCAAACGTGGCTGGCCAAATTCATCGAACTCATTGGGGAAATTTCCACTGGCTGGGTGGTTCCATGCTGGGACTTGAGGCACAACCACCATGACATTTTTCGCATTTTAAATATACCCAAAAGAAAAAACATCCCTATTACCATCCTATTATGTATACTAATACATATATAACTATAATTAATCAATTATAATATATATATAGATAGATAGATAGATAGATATGATAGATATAGATATAGATATAGATCTCCCCATAAAACGGTGTTCGTTTTCACCGTACTTTGGGCTCCATCGATCCCGCCTGCTGCGGTCCAAAGGTCAGATCTAAGATCTTCAGCGGTCCCGGCGTCGGACTCGTCGCGGCCGGACGTGCCCCGCCTGCGACCGAGTTCGGCATGAAGTTCTTCAAAGAAATGTGATGTATTATATATATATATATATTATATATGATTTAATATCTTCCTCTCAGAAATCTTGGGATGTGAGTCAGTTTCTTGAAAAAAATCTGAGAGGTTTATCAATGATCATGTTTTGACCCATGGCAAGGAACATCATCCACTGGCGTATTGGGCGGTGTTGCTATGGAAACCCCAACCAATGGTCTCAAACGTGCAGCCTATCTCTGCACCTTGTGGTACTTCGTCCCAAAAAGAAATTGGGGAAATCTCAGTGATGCATCACTCTTCCAGAAATGGTTGTGTCATGTTGTGTCTAAAAAATGGGGTATACCCCCGACTCCCGACATGGACAAAAAATGGGGAGACTGCGATATTCAACTCTTGGAATTTCGGGTAATGTGGTAAACCCAATGCCATAAACCATCCCCAAAATCACCATAAATGGGTTGTTTAACATTGTATAACCATCCCGAAATGGTCGGTTTCGCAAATTGAGTTTACTGCATTATTCAACATCCAAACTCTTCCAGCCTTAGCATAACCCCTGTTATCATAATGCTAGTTATCCCATTCATCCCCATTAAAATGGGATAAACATTGATCATCAAGTGACTATCCCATGATCCCCATTGTTCATGCTACTTATCCCATAATCCCCATGAAAATGAGGTAATAAGATGTAACTCGCCAGGAAATTGATGGAAATTCTCTCAGCTGCTAGCGAAGCCTACTGCGCCCCGTTGAAAGGTCAGGAAAGCCGGCCTGTGCGAGCGCCGTAACAAGCGAACCATGGGCGAAACGATTTTAGAACATGCTGGGGAAACAAATCTCCATCCCCATCCACTCCAGGTGATTCTTCCCAACTGTTTCTGGAGTGCGTCAATCCAAATTCCACCCATCCCCGGCCCCCAAGCTGAGCTCCAGGATCCGACCTCTTCCTGAGCTCCATCGCCAGCTGCTCCTCCTGCAGCGACTTCACCGCGAAGCCGTTCACAGCACGGAGCTCGTCTCCGGGCAGCACGCCCTGGGCCTCCACCTTGGAGCGGCAAAATGATCCCAGAATAGGCAAAAATGCTGGGAGAATGATGAATGGGCAGAATGGGCAATAATCCCACATGATTTCAGTCTAAAATGATGGGAAATGATGGGAAATGGATAGGATGAGTTGAACAATCGGAAGTGTATGTAGTATTTGAACGGTGAAATATTGAGGGATACTGAGGGGTTCACCAAGAATAGGGAGTTCTGGACAATGCTACAACTGGGAGTTGATGCAAAATGAAAGTTGAATCGTCAAAAAATTGATGTCACTAACAGAAACAGGGGATTCCAATTAGGATGTCATATTTACACGTCAGGAAACTTTCACCATCAGTTGTGAAGCCTCCTCAATTAGCCAAGGGCAAACGTTGAGTCATCTTCGCTATCAACGTCGCCACCCCTTGGGCCACCGGCCAAACTTCCAGGTACTACTGCGGCCACAAAGACGGGGTTCGGTGGCCAATTGTCCGGAATCAGGCCTGTGCATGGTTGGTTGAACCACGGTCGAACCAGGGAATAAAGATGGGCTAAGATGGGGTGGATTGTTAACACGCCAGGACATTACAAGAATCCATGTGGAGAGGCCCAACAAGAATGGGGGCTTCTAAAAGGGAATGAAACAAGCCAGTTGTGATATGTTAGGAAAAACTTGAGCATGATCCACACTGAATCTTGTACCTCCCTGGCCGACCGAATAGAGTTTTCTGTCCACGGCTCCAGGGCACCAAGCCGATGACGCGGGTGCTCACCGTCACCTCTACCTGGACCGAGAAGACCCCAGTCATATGCTATCGGTATCAGTTGTTGGTGTTGATCCTCTTTTTTTGCTACGATGTCAACAACACCAAAAAAAATTGTTGGCTTGTTGTCCCTGGTTGTTGGGGACTACACCTCAAAAATCTATTGAAGCCCCATTTTGAGTGGTGAAGTCATGGCCATCCCCAAAAAACCGAAGCTTCCCACAGCCACGGGGCCAACCTCGAAGCGCATGATCTCTGGAGCCGGCGAAGTAGAACTGGGCTCCAGAGCCAGGCCATGTCGTGGAAAAACGCCAGGTGATCCAATGTGTGGTGTCATCCAAATCTTATGATAACCATTGATAATCTATGATGATCCAAATGTCATCCAAATCATCATGTGTTTTTTTGTTGCATAGATTTGCATGAGAATCATATCTAATCTATGATCTTCATTGACATTCCACAGATTGTGCCCATGAAAATGGGGCTTCTCGCAGCGCCTGGGCTTCCGAAAGCGGAGGCACAGCGGCCGCCGCTGCAGCGCCGCCACCAGCTCTTGTCGGGTCAGCGGGTCCACGTTGATGCCATTGGCAGACAACAGGACGCTACCAACTGCGACCTGGGACTTCAACGGGACTCACAGTTTCAACGAGAGTTGGGAAGGAAGTTGCCGAGTTCGTCACGGACCAAGATCCAAAAACCATCGTTCAATTGGCCGAGGTTCAGAATGGTTGATGGGGTTGACCTTGTCGAAATGCCGAAGATTGAAATGTGCCCTGTGAACCCAGGTTGCTTTTCAGCAGAAGTACAGTAGATATTGGAAGTTTCACGGCCCTGCGAGTTGACCGAGTGGCGACATCATCATCATCATCATCATCATCATCAGCATCATCAAAATGAGCTGAAGATTGTCCAGGTCATCAAATCAAAATTCATCAACACAAGTCACAAAACCATCAAATTTTAGCCATTTGGGAACCAAAAAATCCTCGTTTCCCCCGTGGTTTTGTTGGTCGAAAACCCGATGGAAAACCAGGGATCCAACGCTGTGAATTGCCAGCGGCGCGTCCGGATGAATGGACTCCACCGTCATCGGCCTGGCGTCCGTCGGAGGCCAGTCATGTCGGGTCAAGTCATCTGGGCACCCATTGACAATAGATGTGTATATTACATATATAATATATATATATATATATTTAATTATGGATATATATATATATATGGATCTATACAATAATCTTCACTCATCTTCAGGCAACGGCAATCTGAGATTCTATATAATCATATGGAGATTGCATGATATTGTTATATATATACTCATATTATAATCATATGTCATATAATGTCACATATATCATATCATATTCGAAGCCACCAAGCAGTAAAGGTCATGAGTGGATTCCCTGCCTTCCTGGTGAGAGAACCAGTCCAACCGGACCGGCCGCATGGACCGTCACCTGGCTTCGTCATCATAACATATGAGGGGTTGCAAATAACCGATGCCCCCTCGGTTATAAAAAAAATCGTTCAGCCCAATTCCTCAAAATAAGTTTCAAATCAGCAAACTTGAGAGCAGGCGGAGGCGGACGAAAGGTAGTGTAGTGGGAGAGGAGTGGTGTCAAAATGCTGCGCCCCTAAGATGATACACCAAAAACTTGTTTGCGCAGTCTAAGATGATTTTATCCAGAGCATGACTGCATGATACGGTGTCTTGTGCAGCGTGAAATGATGCACGAAAAGGGGTTTATTTAAAATCCCTTTTTATTAAGACCCCTTGCAGCAACTGTTATTGAGGCTGAAGCAAACCAATTATGCTGGACTACAGGGACATCTCCCTCATGGAAAGTGTGCCTCTAATGTGGGGGCCCGTGACCGCGTCACCCGTGGGAATTGAACCCATGACCATTTTCGGGGGGGGCCCCCCCCTTATAATTGATATCCAATACATAACGGCGAGAATTCCATGAATTCCACGGGCTGGCCCCCCAATACCCCCTAAGCTTGTGCTGAAGCACGGAGAACTCAGGTAGCTGACGCTACCTTTCGTGATAAGCCATGAACATCACGAACTCTTAGGTCCCCTTCCCGAAATCTTCATCCACCGCTGACCTCAAACTCCAGGCGCTTGGTGAAGAGGGACGATGACGACATCGTGACGGCTCAGGGCTCCCCGGACTCCCCGCCCATGGCGCAAACATCAGTCAAGACATTGAGCCTTTAGCCATCACCGGTTTAGCCACCTGGGTCAATAAACATGGGGATATGATAGGGATTCGCAACATGAGGATTTGATATGATTTGATCAAATCAACTCAAATGAAACACGATTCTGGATGATTCTGGAATATGTTTTTGAACTGTCTGCAATTTTGTGAAGTTGATATGTTGTGGGATTAGTCCCTTGCTGATCACAGCTGGCGGTGAAAATCCAGCTAGTCGGCCAGAGATAGTGAGTCTGTTTGAAACCAGCCGAATTTCCACTTCTGGACTCCCGAATTTGTGAATCCAACAGAATTTTAGCATTTTCGGGTCCTCCTTTTTGGACCTTGGACACACATGGTAAACCATTGCTTCCTGCACCAGCTGCACCAGCTGCAGGGGCACGTCCGGCAGTCAAAAGGGCCTCTTGTTGTCACTGTGCACGGTCGAGTCGGTGAACCCATCAAATTGCTGATGGTCAACTGTCGGTAGGCGCCGTCCGCAAGAGTTGAAAGCAGCTAAAACATTCGCACCAGGCACGGCCCAGCGGTGGCAGCGGTGGCAGCATGCGTATGTTACAAGTTGCGGCGCGGCTCAGAGCGACAACTCTTCGAGATATCAGCTGGAATCCAAAGGTAGCAACACGGCGGACTGTTTGAGAAGCTCATATTTAAAAACAAATAAAAACTGACCTGCCTCAATGGCCATTCCATTCGCTGCTCCGAATCGCACCAGTTGTACACATGTTCTGCAACCACTGCCCTCAATGCTAGTGACTTGGTGACCCTGGTAGATCCAGAGTCAACGTTTTTGGCAAGGCCGGCAAGGCCTAGTCTCTAAACCTGTGTTTCCTTGTAAACATACAAAAAACTATGAAACATAACCATTTTTAATGGGTAAATCAACTATTTCTATGGCCATTTTCAATAGCGAACTGTTAGTTTATAAAGTGACGCCTATCCAAGCTATGTTCGAACTCTTGGATCTCAGCCCTCAGATCCCTCCGATGAAGCGGGCGAGTTTGGCTTTGGCACCGAAGATCATGTTGAAGTCTTCCTGACGCCGAGGGATGAAAAATGACACAAGGACAGGACACAAAAGGACGAGAACTTTCGTGAAAAGCTCACTGAAGCGTGTGTGTGAGTGTATATATATAGGCTTATATCATATATTGACTATTGATATGTAACGACAACTATAGATGTAGAATGCTAACATCTAAATATATAACACTGTATATATATAGTTATGCATACAACAACTATAATAATATTTATATATACATATATCATGTACGTAATACATTTTCCCATACAACGCCATTTCTACCTTGGTCCAAACACCCCACCAACATCGCTAGGGTGTGTATATATAATTATATATACAGTATAATATATATTGTATAAATTCGCACCGTTGTTGTTCACGGACCCACCATCCATCCCAATCCCCATCTACGATCACCTGATCCAGCTCTTTCTGCAGCTCTAGGACCACCTGCGTCTCGTCGCGGCGTTGGGCACTCTTCTTCTCGCGGATGATTTCGAACTCCTCGCGCGACAGTCTAACGCAATGGCACTGGTGATGGTGGTAGTTGAAGGGGAACAAAAACATCCAGGGGTTTGGGGTCTAAATCCTTGTTGTTCCCATGAAATGATCCAAAATATTTTTGGGGGATGAATAAAAAATTCTGGAAGTTTTTGTTATGGTAGTATATAATATATGGTGACTTATGTTTCATCCACCATCCCGATCCGATCTGTTTTTTGGTGGATGGTGAAGCTTTCCTCCAGAGATTTGGAGGGGACTGGGAGGCTTGGTGTTGTCCCTTTGTCGAAATCCTCCATTTCTAGATGAAGTGTTCCATTGAAACCTCCCATTTATATAAGATATTCATAGATGTTCCATTGCCATGTTTGATGACTGGAGTATAATCCAGTCACAGGATTTTTTGGACTGTTTTTTTTCGTCCCCTGTAGCAAACAGCACAGTCTGGGATAAAAGTCTGACTTGTTGTAGGGGTCGAAACTCGGTGTGACAGCAGTGTCATGCAAGACCTCAAGAACCTCCTCTGAAGCTGCACAGAAGGCATCCTATTTCTTGATCAAGTCGAGATATGTTCAGGATCTCCCCATGCCCAATGAATTCTGGATATTGATGCCCAAATCGTTAAATATGTGGCTTTGTCCCAAAACTATGGGAAAACCCCCAAAACATCCCAAGACTATGGGAAAACCCCCAAATCCAGTGTTTTAAAGCCTCATGTCCCCAAGTAAAATTGCGAAAACGCTGGGTAGATCTTGGAGCACTGGACGAAGCCATTTCTGCATGATTCATAGATTCAGATCTTTGCTGATGATTGATTCCCCAATGAGGGGATGATCGCATCAAACATGGACAATTGGTTCATATTAAATCCCTGGTTGATCAAATCCCTAAAAAATGGGACCGTCCCGGGGAAAACAACCCATGTTGCCATGTCACGGTATGGTTTCAATGGTTGGGATCCCCAAGTTGCTGACGGGGTCGCTCCTGATTCAGCCGATCAAAGGCCCCTGCGATGCGCGAGGCACGGTCCAAGTGTTGCTTCGCTTCTGGGATCTCACCCGCCTCGCGCGGGGCGCTGTGGAAGACTGGGAAATGATTTAAGCATCAAATTTTTTGTGATTTAACCCATCCGAAATGTAGATTAATACTTGAATATACGTAAATTATATTTGATTTATCTGATGTATGATAGATAAGTTTGTGTTCAACTTGGTTAACGATGAGCTTTATGGTGGACTAGTCCATGGAACTAACCAACAAACATCACGCCTCCATCAAGACAAAAGCTTTGCGCGTGAGCTCCTCCTTGGAGTTGTTGGGGAGATGCGTCGTCGTCAGGTAAATGGCAATTAATCCCATTAAATTCCTGGTAAAATCGGAGTAAATGCCACTATGAATTCTCATCATCATGAGGATGGTCCTCATCAACAAGTTGATTTTGGATCGAAGAAATATTGAATGAAAATGTCCACAATTCCGATGAAGAGGCAACACACACGTAGGTGATATTCCCAAAATTGAAAACCATCACAAAAAAAATGGCCGGCTATGGTCTTGGCTTTTGCCACTTTGTATTGAAACAACCCAACC